ATCAAGCACACCTATGAGGACTCATGCCTCCACACCATAACCATTTGGAAAATAGGTTCCTTGAGATTAAGTATATTAAGTTACTTCAAGATTCTTTGCCTTTAGTGTTATTGTGTCGGAACGTGACACTCCGATCCCATAATACCGTGTAGGAACATGACACTCCGATCTCATAATACTGTGTCAGAACGTGACACTCCGATCCAATTATCTCATTATTTTATTTCAGCAAGCCTTCTTTTTTCAAGGCGTTATTTTATTAGAGATGGTTCAGGATTAGAAATTCAACACTCTCATAATTTTTATGTCAACCACGAACCACACAATCAAAACATACAACCACATAATCAAGTACATAGGAGACTTTGCAATATCACTCAATACATATCAATCGCTATTTAAAGTTTATCTATCACATAGAAATAAACCATAACCTACCTCCACCGAAGAACCGAGTCAAGCAACTACTTCTCCAACACTTTTCCTTTCCTTATTGCTTCCGAACCCTTCCAATCTATCAAGTATATATCACACAAGGTGTATGTTCACAAGGCCATAAACATTCCGATTATTCTGTATCTAGTCTATACCCATCAATTCACCTAATCCTATAATCACTTTCTTAAAGTTTAAACCTAAGGGTAAGCCTTAGTTCTTCCAATTAGCATAATTTTAATGAAATTTAAGTAATTCAATACTACAAATATTTAATTACCTATCACAATATACTAAAACTCTACTTATATGATGATGGTGAATAGTAACTTAAAATTAAGCCACTGGTTGCGGAAACCAATGGCAACCATATACTGCAGAAATGCATTCATCATGACATTAGTTAATGATTAGCCAATCATTACTTCAATTGAAAGAAATCAATATCCCAAAGAATATAAAAGAATTACATGGCATTAAGTCTATCCAAAAATAGAAAGAAACACACATTCCCCCTTTTCCACAACTAACAAGAATAATTGCACCTAATCTGTACAGAATTCACCGTCTAATTCCACATCTATATAATATATAACATAGGCGACCGTTCCAGCATCCTAATCTTCAAATATTAATTGTTTTTGCTTATAATTTGACCAATCATCACATCTTTCTTCTTAAAACATACCATATAATAATCTATCCCTATTATTGCACCCTAATATTGAAAGCCGAAGGAGAAACGTTTCTACTTGAATTGCTTCTTCAATCCGTTTTTGACAATCGTGCGGCTCCCCTTCCTATCATTTTTTTCTCCTTTCTACAGATCAGTTATCACCCTAATTGTATACCTTAATAATATAATGGGGTAAAAGTGACCCCTTATTTATTTTATTATTATTTCCTTTAACCACCAACTAACTTAATTATTAAAACTACCCCCCTAATTTCATAATTATATTATGAATAGTCCAAATCCAATTAGAACCCATTGAAAATTATTTTATGAAACACAAGGCTTTAGCACTCAAAATGACCAAATGGGTCGTTACAAAAGATACCAATTTAACCATCATTCGTCCTCGGACGATAAAAAAGAAAGGCGAGGGCGAGAAAGAGTACCTGAATATGAAAAAAGATGTGTATATCTTTCTTGCATATCAACCTCACTCTCCCAAGTGGACTCTTCAACTGACTGATTCTTCCACTAAACCTTGATAGATGCAATCTCCTTTGATCTCAACTTGCGGACCTCCCTATCTAGAATAGTAACATGCTCCTCCTCATAAGACAGATTCTCATCAAGAAGAACTGAATCCCAACGAATAATGTAGTTTCCATCACCATGGTATTTTTTCAGCATAGACACATGAAATACCGGGTGCACTCCTGACAGTCCTGGAGGTAAGGCTAATTCATAGGCCACCTCCCCCATGCGCTTAAGTACTTCAAATGGTCCAATATACCTCGGACTTAGCTTACCTCTCTTACAAAATCGCATCAAACCCTTCATGGGTGAAACCTTCAGCAAGACTTGTTCACTCTCCATAAAATCCAAGTCTCTAACCTTTCGATCTGCATATTCCTTTTGCCTACTCTGAGCTGCTAAAAGCTTTTCTTGAATAAATTTCACTTTCTCTAATGATTCCCTCAGAAGATCAGTACCCCAAGGTCTAACCTCAAATGCATCAAACCAACCAATGGGGGACCTACATCTCCTCCCATATAATGCCTTAAATGGGGCCATATCAATACTCGAATGATAGCTATTATTGTACGAAAACTCTGCTAAAGGTAAGAATTTATCCCAATGACCACCAAATTCTATCACACATGCACGAAGCATATCCTCCAACATCTGAATCGTTCGCTCAGACTGACCATCCGTCTGAGGGTGAAATACAGTACTAAGATCCATCCTAGTACCTAATTCAGCATGTAATGTTCTCCAAAACTTAGAAGTAAATTGCGTACCTCTATCTGATATGATGAAAAGTGGAACTCCATGCAATCGAACAATTTCTGAGATATAGAGTTTGGCTAACTTTTCTGCATTGTAAGTCATCTTGACCGGAATGAAGTGAGCAGACTTAGTTAACCTGTCAACAATTACCCAAATAGAATCAAACTTACCCAATGTCTTTGGAAGACCAACTTCGAAATCCATTGCAATTCTTTCCCACTTCCATTCAGGAATGGGCATTCTCTGAAGTGTCCCTCCAGGCCTCTGATGTTCATACTTTACTTGTTGACAATTCGGGCATTGGGCAACAAAATCAACAATGTCACGCTTCATTCTACTCCACCAAAAATGTTTCTTTAGATCACGATACATCTTGGTTGCACCAGGATGTATGGAATACCTAGAACTATGAGCCTCTGTAAGAATAGTGTAAGTCAAATCATCAACACGAGGCACACATACTCTTCCCTTAATTCTCAAGACGCCTTCCTCATCAATTATTGTCTCTTTAGCCTTTCCTCGCAATACCATATCTCGAATTCGGCTCAGCTTCTCATCAGCAAACTGTTTTCCCTTAATATTGTCAAGAAAGGAAGATTTTGCCTCTACAGAGGCCAAAAATCCTCCTATCTCTAGTACTTCCTGCCTCATAAAGTCATTAGCCAAAGTCTGAACCTCTCTAGCCAATGGATGTCTAGAAACCTGTAAGTGGGCTAAACTACCCATGCTCCCTGCTTTTCTACTTAAAGCATCTGCCACAACATTAGCTTTTCCTGGGTGATACAAAATAGTAATATCATAGTCTTTCAATAGTTCCATCCACCTCCTCTGCCTCAAATTCAAATCTTTCTGAGTAAAGACATATTGTAAAATACGATGATCTGTATAAACTTCACACTTGACCCCATATAGATAATGGCTTCATTGCTTTAATGCAAATACAACGGCAGCCAACTCCAAATCATGGTTCAGATAGTTACGTTCATGCACTTTTAATTGCCTCGAAGCATAAAAAATTACATTCCTCTCTTGCATTAGCACTGCACCCAAACCAGAATAAGATGCATCACAATAAACAATAAAATTCTTACCTTCCACTGGCAAGGTAAGAATTGGTGCAGTAGTCAACAAGGTCTTGAGTTTTTGGAAGCTTTCTTCACATTGTCCGACCATACAAATGGAACATTCTGCTTAGTCAAATTTGTCAGCTGGGAAGCAATAGAAGAAAATCCCTTGACAAATCGACGGTAGTATCTAGCTAAACCAACAAAGCTCCTCACCTCTGAAACATTAGTAGGTCTTACCCAACTCTTCACTGCTTCAATCTTAGAAGGATCCACCATAACTCCATCCTTAGAAACCACGTGCCCCAAGAAGGACACTAAATCTAGCCAAAACTCACACTTGGAGAATTTGGCATAAAGCTTTTTCTCCCTTAATAAATCCAATACAATTCTCAAATGCTCCTCATGTTCTTTCCTACTCTTTGAGTATATCAGTATATCATCAATAAATATACAATAACAAAGAGATCCAGATATGGCTTAAAAATCCCGTTCATTAGGCTCATGAAAGCAGCAGGGGCATTCGTAAGCCCAAAAGACATTACTAAGAATTCATAATGCCCATACCTGGTTTGAAAAGCAGTCTTTGGCACATCTGTTGCCTGTATTTTTAATTGATGATAACCGGATCTCAAATCAATTCTAGAGAAGACACAAGCACCTTGTAACTGATCGAACAAATCATCAATGCGAGGAATGAGATACTTGTTCTTAATAGTTACCTTATTCAGCTGCCTGTAGTCTATGCACATCCGAAAACTTCCATCTTTCTTCTTCACAAATAAAACAGGAGCACCCCAAGGGGATGCACTTGGTATAATAAAACCTTTACCTAACAACTCCTGAAGTTGGGCCTTTAAGTCTCTTAACTCAGCTGGAGCCATTCTATAAGGGGGAATAGAAATGGGGCGAGTACCCGGCTCCAGATCAATACAAAAATCAATATCCCTATCCGGTGGCATACTAGGAAGGTCTGCAGGAAACACATCCAGAAACTCACGGACTATCAAAACAGACTCAATCGAAGGTAATTTGAAAGTATGATCCCTGAGATGTGCCAAGAACGCTAAACAACTCTTACTCACTATCCTCTTAACACGAAGAAAAGAGATAATACGAACTGGAGTGGAAATATAGTCACCCTCCCACACTAGCGGATCTGTCCCAGGCTTGGCCAATGTCACATTACAAGCTAAGATTGCAAAATTTGGAGAAAGCCAAGTCATACCCAGAATTACATCAAAATCAACCATCTCTAGAATAATCAAATCTACATAAGTATTGCTCTCCACAAAAGTCACAAGGCAAGACCTATACACCTTCTCAACTATCACAGACTCACCCACAGGAGTAGAGACACGAATAGGCATGTCAAACAAATCACAATATAAATCAAGACCAGTAGCAAATAAGGAAGATACATATGAAAATGTGGATCCAGGATCAAACAATACAGAAGCCATGCAATGACAGACCAAAAGATTACCTGTGATAACAGCATCAGATGTCTCTGCTTCAGACCTCCCGGGGAAAGCATATCAATGAGCCCTATCACCTGTCTGTCTATTAACCCTACCAAGCTGCGCTGCAGTAGTTCCAACTTGCCCGCCAGCCCAACAGAATTGGTGACCACCATTACCTTGGCCACCACGTCCTCCAAAATGGCGGCCTCTACCATGAACACCTCTTCCTCTAACTACTGGGGGTCTATAACTCTGTTTTGGACAATATTTCCTAATATGTACAACCTCTCCACATCCATAACAATTCCTGGAGTCAAGTATAGGTCTCTGTGAAAATGACGAAGTCTGGAGATAACCTCCAAGCTCAGAAAAAGGCTAACTGATCTGCGATGGACCCCCAGCTAAAGCATGTAGTGAAGACTGAATAGGACGGGCTGGGTAACCTCCTGAACTCTGCCCTCTGGAGTAAGAAACACTAAACTCACCTCCCTTACGAAACTTCTTAAATGTCGACGCCATGGTGAAGTCGTCTGGCTTCACCCCCTCTACCTATATCACAAAATCAACCACTTCCTGAAAGAATTTTGCTGCAGCAGCTACGTGTAAGGCTGGGATCTGAAAATCTGATCTCAATCCTTTCACAAAGCGGCGAATCCGCTCTTGTGGACTGAAGCAAAGCTGAGTGGCATACCTGGATAGTGCACGAAATTTGGTCTCATAAGCAGCAACAGACATCCTTCCTTGCTCTAGGCTCAGGAACTCATCTCTCCTCCTATCCCTCAAAGTCCGGGGTATATACTTCTCCATAAATAAGCTAGAAAATGATGCCCAAGTCATGGGTGGTGCCTGTGCTGGTTGACACTCAACATATGACCGCTTCCATATTATGGCATCCCCCTGAAACTGATAGGTCACAAACTCAACACCGAATCGTTCTACTATGTCCATCTTATGTAGCAGCTCATGACAATCAACCATAAAATCATAGGCATCTTCAGATTCAGCACCCTTGAAGACTGGAGGTTTCAACTTTAAGAACTTAATGAAAAGTTCATGTTGATCACCTGTCATTATAGACCCTGTAGTCAATCGAGGAAACGTGCCTACTTCCAATGATGCATCCATGCGGAGAGCCACAGCAGCTGCATGTTTTACTCTTTGAACCTGAGGAGCTGGTGCAGAAAACACTGGAGGTGTATGGCCCTAATCAGATAGCCCACTAAGATAAGTAAGAACCTGATTAATCATCTCTGGGGTAGGCTGGGGTGGTACTTCCATATCCTGAACCTGCTCATTTTCCCCTTCCTCACCCTCTCTCACTACCTCATCAGTCGGTGGAGGAGTCACTGCTCTATTCTTAGCTGGACCAGGTGTTTGTCCTCTGCCTCTAGCGGGCGTCCTCCTGCGACCCCTACCACGACCTCTTGCCACTGCTCCTCCTCGAGTTACAACCCCAATGATTGGCTCAGATGCACCTTGTCTTGCCGGTGTTGGTGTTGTTACAGTTGTTGCTCTAGTTCTAACCATCTGCGAAATAGAGTGAGAAGGTTAGATACAAATTTGTATCACCCAGATACCAATTGGATCCAAGTAATAGCACAAAAAAAAGAATGGAGTTTTCTTAAAGTCCTATAGCCTCTCGAAAAAACGTAAAGGCATCCTTATACCGTTCCTCAAGATTCTACTAGACTTGTCCTTGTGTGATGAGACCAACGAACCTAACGCTTTGATACCAAGTTTGTCACGATCCAAAATGGGTCGTGAGTGGCACCCACACTTAACCTACTAGGTGAGCGAACCAACAAATCTAAACCCCAACACTTACCAATAGTTCAACTATGAATAACAAAAATAATGCGGAAGATCCAAAACTTATTAATGTAACCAATTAAATAAGCTTCTAAAGTTTAACACTTATGATCCCCAAAATCTCGAAGTCATCACATCAAGAACATCTATCCTCAAATTACCAAGTCTAAGAGTATTTAAGAAAACAAAATAAGTAAAAAGATGATCCATGTCTGAAATTCAAAGACATTAGAACGTGAATGAGAGAATACAGCATGAGCTAGAAATAATAGCTCACCCTAAACTGTGATGTGCTGGAGACTGACTAGAGCTGAGGGCGAGTCGAAGTCGATGGTATACTTGCTGCACTCCACAAAATAACAAAGAAGAAGATACAAGTAAGGATCGGTACAATGAACACGTACTGAGTAGGTATCATCAGCCAACTCAAAATAGAAACCAATATACATTAAATAATAATATAAGATCAACTACAATACTTAACAGGTGGCAAACAACAAGTACATGAACCATTGACAATCAAGCACACCTATGAGGACTCATGCCTCCACACCATACCCATTTGGAAAATAGGTTCCTTGAGATTAAGTATATTAAGTTACTTCAAAATTCCTTGCCTTTAATGTTATTGTGTCGGAACGTGACACTCCGATCCCATAATACCATGTAGGAACGTGATACTCCGATCCCATAATACCGTGTCAAAACGTGACACTCCGATCCAATTATCTCATTATTTTATTTCAGCAAGCCTTCTTTTTACAAAGCGTTATTTTATTAGAGAGGGTTCAAGATTAGAAATTCAACTCTCATAATTTTTATGTCAACCACAAACCACACAATCAAAACATACAACCACACAATCAAGTACATAGGAGACTTTACAATATCACTCAATACATATCAGTCGCTATTTAGAGTTTATCTATCACATAGAAATAAACCATAACCTACCTCCCCTGAAGAACCGAGTCAAGCAACTACTTCTCCAACACTTTTCCTTTCCTTATTGCTTCCGAACCCTTCCAATCTATCAAGTATATATCACACAAGGTGTATGTTCACAAGGCCATAAACATTCCGATTATTCTGTATCTAGTCTATACCCATCAATTCACCTAATCCTATAATCACTTTCTTAAAGTTTAAACCTAAGGGTAAGCCTTAGTTCTTCCAATTAGCATAATTTTAATGAAATTTAAGTAATTCAATACTACAAATATTTAATTACCTATCACAATATACTAAAACTCTACTTATATGATGATGGTGAATAGTAACTTAAAATTAAGCCACTGGTTGCGGAAACCAATGGCAACCATATACTGCAGAAATGCATTCATCATGACATTAGTTAATGATTAGCCAATCATTACTTCAATTGAAAGAAATCAATATCCCAAAGAATATAAAAGAATTACATGGCATTAAGTCTATCCAAAAATAGAAAGAAACACACATTCCCCCTTTTCCACAACTAACAAGAATAATTGCACCTAATCTGTACAGAATTCACCGTCTAATTCCACATCTATATAATATATAACATAGGCGACCGTTCCAGCATCCTAATCTTCAAATATTAATTGTTTTTGCTTATAATTTGACCAATCATCACATCTTTCTTCTTAAAACATACCATATAATAATCTATCCCTATTATTGCACCCTAATATTGAAAGCCGAAGGAGAAACGTTTCTACTTGAATTGCTTCTTCAATCCGTTTTTGACAATCGTGCGGCTCCCCTTCCTATCATTTTTTTCTCCTTTCTACAGATCAGTTATCACCCTAATTGTATACCTTAATAATATAATGGGGTAAAAGTGACCCCTTATTTATTTTATTATTATTTCCTTTAACTACCAACTAACTTAATTATTAAAACTACCCCCCTAATTTCATAATTATATTATGAATAGTCCAAACCCAATTAGAACCCATTGAAAATTATTTTATGAAACACAAGGCTTTAGAACTCGAAACGACCAAAAGGGTCGTTACAGATAGAGAGATGGTAAGTTAGTTATCAATTTCTCTATATTTTCACAACTTTTATCATATAAATTATTCTAGCTAGATTGTTTTGATTAATATATTGATGTAAAGACATTGAAGTAAGAGTGCAAAAGAAAAAAGGACAAGAAGTGCGTAGTAAAATATTGTATATGAAATAGAGAATGCATTGAATTCATATATTTTCATTAATTAATATGTGAAAAATGGATATATAAAGAATGACTAAATATCATTCGAACACCTCAAAACAAGGTGTGATTCGATAATTTTTGTAATAACGAATATATTTTTATTTTTTTACAGCACTCGTATATATATATATATATATATGGACGAATGAACCCCTTTTCTAAGAGGTCCTTTAGCTGTACACTGAGCTCTCTGAGCTCTGCAGGAGCCATCCGATAAGGCGGAATAGAAATAGGACGAGTGCCAGGCTCCAAATCTATAGCAAAATCAATGTCACGTTCTGGGGGTAGGCAAGGTAGATCTGTAGGGAACACATCTGCATACTCTCTAACCACAGGAACTGAGTCAACTGAAGGGCCCTCCCTACTCACATCTCTGATGTGGGCCAAATACGCTAAACACCCAGAAGAAACCAACCGCCTAGCTCGAATAAAAGAGATTATCCCCGTCGGTGTGTGACTATAAGCAGCCTGCCACAATACCGAGGGAACACCAGGCATGGATAAGGTAACAGTCTTGGCATAGCAATCCAAGACCGCATGATATGGGGATAACCAGTCCATGCCCAAAATCACATCAAAATCAATCATATCTAGCATAATAAGATCAGCTCTAGTATCATAACCCTGGATGGTCACTAAGCAAGATCGCAATACTTGATCCACTACTAAGAACTCACCTATCGGGGTCGAAACATGAACCGGCTCTTCCAAAGACTCGGACCTCATACCCAATCGGGGAGCAAAATAAATAGATACATACGAGAATGTGGACCCTGGATCAAATAATACTGTAGCAGGCTGATGGCACAAGAAGAGCGTACCTGAGATGACATCATCAGATGCCTCAGCCGCCGCCCTTGTCGGGGCAGCGTAGAAATGGCCTTGAGCACCTCTACCTGGTGCACCCGGTCTACCACCTGACCTGCCTCCCCGAGCTCCACCCCTGGTAACCTGTCGACTCTCTCGACGGTCCTGAATCTGACCACTTCCTCTAGCCGAAGAAGACACGGCTGAAACTGGTTTAGAAGTAGGTGGAGCTGGTACAATCACCCCCCGACCTCGCCGGGGGCATTCTCTAGACCAATGGTCAAGATCACCACAATCATAACACCCCGAAGTTGAACGCCCTGTAGTAACCCGACCGCGGCATGGAGGAAAAGAATCTGATCCCCTCGAATTCTGGCCTGTACTAGGACCACTCTGCTGATATTGACCTCCCTCAGAAACAGGTAATGCCGCCTGAACAGGCCAACTGGTCTGACCCTGCTAGAACCTCTGACGTGACCTATCATATGAGTCCCTCCCCCTAGTCTGCGACTCGCTATAGCTGCCCTGGTAGCATGCCCTCTTATCGCTGCCCCCTTGGGCCTCATGATGAATATGCTCCATGGATCGGGCATGATCGACCACATCAAGAAAAGAACGGCCAGTTGAAACCATATGCTCTGTGTCAACCCTCAAACGGTATCGCAACCCACGTACAAAACAACGAACTCTCTCTCCCTCTGTGGGCAGGATCATAGTAGCATGACGAGACAACTCATGGAACCTCGCCTCATACTCTGAAATGGTCATAGATCCCTGCTCCAATCTAGAGAACTGATCACGAAGCCTGTCTCTGACGCTCCGTGGCATGAATCGGGCCAAGAAAGCCTCTGAGAACTCACTCCAAGATATAGGAGGAGATCCAACTGGCCTAGACTCTCGATACGTGCGCCACCACTACCTGGCTGGCCCACGGAACTGATGAGCGGTAAAGTCAGCTCCTCTCGACTCCAAAAGGCCTAATGACTATAACTGCTCCTGGCAAGTGAGCTGAAACTCGTGAGCGTCCTCTCCAATCGCCCCTGAGAATATAGGCGGTGCCAACCTCTGAAATACCCCAAGCATCTTCTGATCCCGCTGTGACATCTCTCTAACCTCTAAGTCTGGTGGGGCGGCCACATGAACTGGTGGCGGCTGATCTTGCAGCGCTGGTGCTGGTACTGCTGGTGCTGGTGCCTGTCGCATATTCCCAATAGCTGCTAATATCTGAGTCAAGAGGGAATGAAGATCAGGTGCTGCAACTGGTGCGGGTGGTGGCTGGGAAGGCCCCGGCCCCACTGGCTGTGGCGGTACATGCGCTGCATGAGGCTCCTCCTCCATATCCCAGGCAGGTGCTGCAGCCCTACCTCGACCTCGTGGTCGACGTCTACCCCAAGCTGAGGCTCCGGGTGCATCTCCCCCGAACGCACCGCCTCGCGTGCGAGCCATCCTGTAATAGAGTGAAACAACTGAGATTTTAAGAAACAAACAAGACACACGCGGCACGAATTTGAAACAAAATGGATATTTTCCTAAATACTTCCTGTAGCCTCCTAAAGATAAGTTACGGACGTCTCCGCACCGATCCGCAGGACTCTACTAGACGTTAGCTCTGTAAAAGTGAGACCGTTGAACCTAGGGCTCTGATACCAACTTGTCACGACCCAATTTCTCGAGCCATGAAGGCACCTACTATAACCCATCAGTAGGTAAGCCAAACCACAACACAGAACCACACATACAAGGTGTGACGGTAGAAACTAAACAAGACTAAGAAAAATTACTATAACAACATAAGCAAACCAAAACATAAATACAATAAAGGATCCCTCCCAGAACCTAGAAGTCACTAATACAGAGCTACCAACATAACAAGTACAAGTCCCAACAGTGGACCACCGAAACTAGACTGTCTCGAAAAGTAAAAGACAAATCTTTATATAAACAGATGGAGACTGAAATAGTACAAAACGCTGTGTGCTCACCCCTGTCTCCAGACCAGAAATTCTCCAAACTCGATCAACGCTGACTACCGGTGCTCGGACCTGCATCACGAAAATAGATGCAGAGCGTAGCATGAGTACCAAAAAAAATAGGTACCCAGTAGGCATCATAGGCCGACTGAACTAGAAAAGTAAAGCACTATGAAAAGACGGAATCACAAAACTAGAGGTCAAGAACAGAAGGCTAAGTAACACAATAATGCACACGAGTGTATAAAAATCTAACTAAATTAATATAAATAAGCTAACTACACCTAACTGAACCCACCATAAGCCCAGAAGGTACACTCGTGCACAAGTTTAAATAAAAACCCGAACGGACCCCCATAAGCCCGAAGAGTACACAAAATAACTATAACTTAAGGAGAATAAAACTCGAGGCCGAAGAACACCGAACCAAAAAGTAAAATCTGACGGTACGGAGGTCGGGCCTTGAACCGGACACTCACCAGAATTACACAAGTAGCCAATTGCAAAATATAAGTAACTGAGGCCGGACCTCTAACCGGATGCTCTACATACTTGAGGCCGGACCTCTAACTGGATGCTCTACATAAGTATGTGGATGTTCGAGGCTGGACCTTAAATCCGGATACCCGACAAAGATGTCGATATAGCTGCTGAAAGAGTCTTTATCTATCCGTAATCATATAAACCCATGGAACACCATCCAGACTTAGCTAATCAATGTAAGACCTTAAAGTCGAATAGAAACTCAACTTTGAATCACGGAGCGTAAATCATTGTCACTGACGTAACTCGAGAAGCCGTAACATCGAAGAAATAAGAGTAACAATCGCTAGAGCAAGCTCATCGTCTTTATAAATACCCAACTATCAGACTCAAGTCTGCTACATCAGTCTACAAGGATTTAAGCCGGCCGAGCGACGTCGGGGCTAAACTAAGTCCTACCGACTTTGAATCATGCATTTCTAAGGAAAACCCTAGTCAAACCTAAACTAAGGCCCAACATACTTCTGACAACCAGTATTCAAACATACAAGTAATTCATATAGCAAAGAAGGTCAATTAATAACAATAAACATGCTCACAGTTACCCGATAATTCTCAGAAATAAAAGCGAAAATATGATTTGTAACACCTATGCATGATCCAATAACTACCCAACCCAAATCCCAACTAATCAACATGCATTCACATGTTCGAGTTCAATCTAAGAAGAGAAACCATAGCCTACCTGAACGCAGATCACGCGCGCTCCAAAATTCACTCCCCGGATCTTTTACTTTCTAAAAGGCCTCGAAACGTTGATACACTAAAATCGCAAGAAACGGAGACGGGTCAATTTCATGGTCAAAATGGAAAAAGTGGGATCCGCATTGAGAAATCCCGAATTAACCCCAAATAAAAGTCCTAAATAACTCTCGAAACTTGTATACCATAATGGAGCATAATTCAGGACTCAAAACAGTCCCAACATGAACATGTAACAAAAGAACCCAAATTCTAAGCTAAAAATCAGCAACTATGGCAGCAGCTACTTACAAGATTTTACCAAAAATGAAGCTCCAAAAGCCAAAACCAACCACACCACGATGATCCTCACGAAAAACCACACAATATAGGCTCTTGAATCACTTGATTCGGACCTAAAATGGCCAAGAAATCACCTTCTAAAAAAACCCAAAACTTGTGCTCGAAAATGAGCTAGACAGCAGTTAAAACCCAAAATTTACCTCAAATCGGGTCCCCAAATCAGATTCCAAGCTCACCAATGCGTTGCCCTTGAAAAATCTCACAACTTAGCCTTGTGAATCGCCCAATTTGGAGTTTTATAGCTCAAGATATCAAGATTCTAAAGTAAGATACAAAGCTGAAAGTTGGGTTTTTATAGGGGCTGCACCAGATTCAGCTTTGCCTACTTTCTTTAAAGTCTCCGACGGGTGCTCGGAATTCGTTCAGAACCTGATAAAAATAAAATGGATATTCTAACCTACCAAAGTCGACATTCCGGACTCAAAGGCGCAGTCGAAATTTTCATCAGAGGTCATCTCGATAAAATGCGGGTCCCACTTCCATTGGCCATTTTAAGTCAAAAACCACAAAAGGGCTCGGAAAAATATCAAAAACCTCAAAACCCGAAAGAAGGGTCAAACTAGACCAAACTCGATATTCTGGAGCTAACCGCGCTGATGGAATTCTCATCCGAGCGTGTTTACTCAGAATGTTGACTAAAGTCAAACTTAGCCTTTAAACTTAAAGTTAAAACGCCTAATCCCACCAACTCACACTGAAAACTTTGGGAGTCATGTCGACAATGCTACTATACTAAAATGACCCTTCCGGAACTGATGGAATCGTCAGAATTGGATTCTGATATCATCTTCTTGAACTTTTGATCGAGAATGATCGTTCAAGGTTCATAAGCTCCAAAAATACTAAAACTCACACAATAACCAAACGAATGACCAGGTGACCTATCTGTCAGTCCCAGCAAGTCATAAATGACTTGGAATCACTATAGGAACGCTCTAAACGATGTACAGAAGATAAAACACTAAAAATGACAATAAGGGTCATTACAATATCCACTACTAAAAAGAACTTTCGTCCGCAAGTAAGGGTCAAGAAGTACCTGAAGGCTCAAACAAGCCGGGAAACTGCTCTCGCATCTCCTGCTCAGTCTCCCAGGTAGCCTCCTCAACTGAACGATGCCTCCAACGGACCTTAACAATAGGAATGGCTCTCGAGCGCAATTTACTCACATCTCTGGCTAGGATGGCAACTGGCTCTTCTACAAATGTCAAATGATCATCCAACTCAATTGCATCATACTGGAGCACATGGGACTCATCAGGAATATATCGACATAGCATCGAGACATGGAAAACTGGATGGATGGCTGAAAATGCTGGAGGTAGGGCCAACTCATAAGCAACCTCCCCAACTGTCCGAAGTATCTCAAAAGGCCCAATATACCTGGGGCTAAGCTTACCCCGTCTCCCAAATCTCATCACACCCTTCATGGGCGACACACGGAGAAATACCCGATCACCAACAGAGAATCTCAAAGGTCGATGCCTCCGATTCGCATAACTCTGGTGCCTACTCTAAGCTGTCCTGAGTCTATCCTGAATCACTCTCACCTGCTCCAAAGCCTCCTAAATCAAATCTGTACCTCGCGGCCTAGGCTCTGTAGACTCGAACCAGCCCACTGGAGTTCGACAACGCCTACCATACAAGGCCTCAAACGGGGCCATCTGAATGCTAGAATGGTAGCTGTTGTTATATGCAAATTCTGCCAAAGGCAAGAACTGGTCCCATTGACCACCAAACTCCAAAACACAAGCCCGTAGCATGTCCTCAAGGACCTGAATAGTGCACTCTGACTGACCATCAGTCTGCGGGTGGAAAGCTGTGCTCAGGTCAACCCGGGTGCCCAACTCATCCTGAAAGGTCCTCCAAAAGCTAGACGTGAACTAAGAACCCCGATCTGATATAATAGAAACTGGCACCCCATGAAGTCGAACCACCTCTCAAATGTAGATACGAGCCAACCTCTCGGCACTAAATGAAGATTGAACGGGAAGGAAATGTGCTGACTTGGTCAATCGATCAACGATGACCCAAATACTATCAAATCCTCTAGAAGTCCTCGGTAGACCAGCCACAAAATCCATAGTAATGCGATCCCACTTCCACTCGGGAATGGGTAATCCCTGAAATTCACCACCAGGCCTCAAATGCTCAGCCTTTACCTGCTGGCAGCACAAGCAACGAGAAACAAAGTCAGCAATATCTCGTCTCATGCCACTCCACCAGTAATGTTGTCTCAAATCACGACACATCTTCGCTGTACCCAGATGG